AGTCTTAGTGTGAGTGAGTCTGAGTATGGGTCTGAGTATGAGTCTGAGAATGAGTCTGAGTGAGTGTGAGTGTGAGTGTGTGTGTGTGTGTATGAATGACCTGAGTATGATGAACCTTGATTCTGAGAAGCGACTCGAAATGCGAATGAGTCTGTATATAAGTGATCCCAGGCATGAGAAACCTAAGTATAATTAATCTCAGGCCGAGTGCATCTGAGTATGAGTGAGTCTGATGGTGAGTGAGTCTACATGTGAGTGAGTCAGAGGATGATGACCTTAAGGTGGGAGGTGTGTTCTCGTTCTCCGCACGATCAAAGCAATCACAACTACCCCATCCTTAGGGTAATTATGGGGAAATACAGAAAAACCTCCCGGGGTGTTGTTTCACGACTCGAGGGGGTCTGGGGGCCCCCGTCCCTCCCTCCCCCTCCCCCTTGCTCCCCCCCGCCGTCTCCCCCGAGGTCCTTGGTCGTTCGTCCGTGCCCTCCCCCCCCCCGTCTCCCCTCTCCCCCGAGGTCCTTGTCGTTCGTCGTTGTGCCTTCCTCCTCCCCCGTCCCCCCCCCCCTCCCCCCCCTCCCCGAGGTCCTTGTTGTTTCTCGTGCCTTCCCCCCCCCCCCCCGTCCCCACGGCGCAGGGAGGTCCTTGTCGTTCTCGTGCTTCCACCCCCCCCCCCCCGTCCCCCTCCCCCCTCACCCCCTTCCCCCCGAGGTCCTTTCCTTCCTAGTGCCTCCCCCACCCCCCCCGTCCCCCCGTCGCTCCCCCGAGGTCCTTGTCGTTTCGTCGTGCCTTCCCCCCCCCCGTCCCCCTCCCCCCTCAACCCCTCTCCCCCGAGGTCCTTGGCCGTTCCTCGTGCCTCCCGCCGTCGCCCTTCGCCGCCGCCTGCGCTCGCCCCCGGGGGGCTCTCGCCGCGAGGCCCCCGCGCGCGGGCCCTCTCGGGAGAGTTCTGCGGGGCCGCGCGGGGGGGGGGAAGACCGAAGTGGCGGCGCAAGGGAGGGCTCCCGCCGGCGAGTAAGGAGACGAGCCACGCCGAGGATCAAGTCCACGACGACTAGGTCAAATCCACGACGAGGATCACTCCACGCGGGACCAGATCCACTACGAGGACAAGCAATCCACGAAGTGAGAAGTGAGACGAAGCCACGACGGGTGAATCGAGAATCTCCTGGTGATCTGGCAGCTCTGGAGGATGTCTCTGGTTGCCGCGCGGGCCTTCTCAGAGCGTTCCGGAACGCTCTGGAACGCGTTCATACTCGTCCTAGCCCCATCCGAGAAAAGAGGGGGTCGGCGGCAACTCGTAGGAGCCTCCCGTGCTGTCCTGCTGGCTCTGCGAATCGACGCTCACCGACGCTAGTCGACGTTAGTCGGCACTCGTAGGTGCTAAATCGACGCTAACCGAAGCTAGACCTGCGCTTTGTCATCGACTGCCAGACGCCAGCGCACGCAAATGCACCCTAAAGACGGAGTTATGAAGACATACAAGGCTCCAATGACTTGCTAACGTCGTCGTCGTCGTCGTCGTCGTCGTCGTCGTCGTCGTCGTCGTGGTCGTCGTCGTCGGGCGCTGGCCGCCTGAGACATGACCAGCTCGATGTCCTTCGGCTCGATGCCGCTGTCGTCGGCCTCGCCGTCGTCCGGCTCCTCGGGGGGATCTCTCGTGCCGGGCTCTGCCTCTGGCGCTCGAGGGCCGAGGATCTCGGGCCGTGCTGGCCTCCCCCTGACACGTGTCGCCGCGCCGCTTGCCCTCGACGCGCCCGTGTGGACGACGCCGACACCACGGCAAAACCACGGCAAGCCCTGCGCCCCGCGCCAGTAGACGAAGCCGGCACCGCGTAGTGTCCCTGCGGCTGAATGGCGCTTGAGACAGTTGCGCCCGCCGCGTCGTCGCCCAATAGGGCAGATCTCTCGAGAGGGTGCATCTTTCGGGGGCCTCGACCGCGTAATGTCTCTGCGGCTGAGTGGCGCCGTAAACAGTTGCACCTGTCGCGTCATCGCCAAGCAGGGCAGATCTCTCGTGAGAGGACGTCTTTCGGGGGCCTCGACCGCGTAATGTCCCTGCGGCTGAATGTCGAATGAAATAGTTGTTCCGAACGTGCCATCGCCCAGGCAGGCAAATATCTTGTGAGGGAATTTCTTGCAGGGGCCTCGACCACGTAATGTTTCTGCGGCCGAATGGCGCGTGAAACAGTTGCGCCCGTCGCGGACCCTCGCTGCAGGCAGCTTTACTATAAGCACTCCTCCTTGAAGGGATCCATAGCAGGGAGTCCTCACTGACGAACGCTTGCTAGAGGCATCCCCGTCAAGGACCCCCATTAAACAGGGGCATTTACTAAGGATCCCGGGATACAAATCAACACCCTTACGAATGAAGCATCACGAAAACATATGCACGAATCATCTCCCACTCAAGGAATGCAAACCAAGGGGGCCTGGGGGCATCTCCACCTCCAACTCATCGTCGTCGCCGTTCTCCTTCGAGATGTGGAAAGCAGCGCTACTCCTTCTCTTCCCTTCTAGTCCTCCCCTTCCTCTAATCATTTCCTGCGCATCTTCTGCCTCGATTTCATTATCCTTCCCCTCCCACCTCATCCTTCCCCTCCTCCTTCCCCTTTCCCCCCCTCCTCCGGCTCTTGCTTCCCCTCCCTCCTCGTCTATGCTGAAATCCTTCTGTTCTTTCCGACGTGCAACTTCATAACAACATGCATGTGCAATTGCACACATACGTAAAAGCGAAACGAATACCTACATAACTAAACAAGTCGAGCACGTTTGGCAGAGCTGGCTGGACAGCGGTACTAGGAGAGATACGTCATGCAATCGTCTAGAGCGACGGTCTCTGAAACGAAGGAAGACACCAACGTCCCGAAAAGACTCCCCAGAATGGTATCGGTAAGTTATGCCGACGATCGTCTTTAATGGCGACAATCTCGATGACCCCATGCTGCAGCTCAGCAGGGGTCACGCCTTGTGCCACCTCATGATTGGCATATGATTTTGGCCTCGTCCGGAAAAAACTGCGAAACGGTGGATGGCACTTCTGTGAGCCAACTCCTACCACACTCCACGGTACGCTTGACGACGGAATCCGCTATCTTGTTGGATTTGCGTTGGTGCCATAATACTGGGTTGCCTCCTCCTCCTCCTCCTTCTCTTCCTCTTCCTCGTCCTCCTCATCCTCCTCCTCCATTTCTTTTCCTTATAAATAACTTCTCCCTGTCGCACCCCGAGGCCGGTTTTTAGGGCGGGCTGGGCATTTCGGCTAAGACTTCCCCACCATTTATGATTCTGAAGCTTAAACAGTGGCAGCAGTTTCACATATGGAGGGCGTGTCATTTTCAAAATGTTGCTCTCGCCTTAGCGCCGCGCACATTCGTTCAGTTTCACGAATTGAGAGCGGGTCGTTTTTTTAATCTGGCTCTCGCGCCGCGCACATTCGTTAAGCACATTTGTAAACGTTTCACAAATTGAGGGCGGGTCGTCATCAAAATGTGGCTCTCGCATTAGCGCCGCGTGCATTCGTTTCGAACACTTGCAAAATTTTCACGGGTTGAGGGCGGGTCGTGTTCAAAATGTGGCTCTCGCCTAAGCGAGCGCACATTCTTTTAGAACATTTGCAAGAATTTCATGGGTTGAGGGCGGCTCCTTTTCAAAATGTGGCTCTCGCCCTAGCGCCGCGCACATTCGTTTAGAACAATTGCAAGAATGTCACGGATTGAGGGCGGGCCGTTTTTTAAATATGGTTCTCGCCTCAGCGCCGCGCACATTCGTTTAGAATATGTGCAAGAGTTTCACGGAGTGAAGGCCTGTCCTTTTCAACATGTATCTCTCGTTGCATGTGCCAGAAATGGTGTTTTGGACGGATTCAGGATTATGCGGGTGAACATGTATGTAGATTCGCGGTGTTGAAGTCGCAAAAATGGCGTTCTGGCATGGTTCTAGATCGACAAGACGCAGCAGTCAGGTTGATCCGTGGCGTTGAGACCCCGAGAACAATGTTTTGGCATGCTTCAGGGTCTTCAAACGGCTGTCTTCCAACGAGGCAGTTCCCTCCATGGAAATGAACATGGAAATGAATCGTTGTAGGGGCCTATGACGAGGGAGCTTGGAGGGAAGGTTAATTCAAACATCGTTGATGACTCTTGGGTTTACACTAGTCTTCCTCCTCCTCCTCCTCCTCCTCCCCTCCTCCTCCTCCCCCTCCCCCTCCAAAAAAGCCAACAATAGTAAACCATAACCAAGCAAACAGAACCAGCAACAAACAAACCATGAAAAACAAAAAAAAAACAGAGCCAGACCAAGGCCCAACAAACGAAAACTTCTTTTCTTCCTCCCCCTCCTCCCGCTATCCCTCATTCCTCCCTCCCCCTACCCCTCCTTCTTCCTCCCTCCTCTTCTTCTTCCTCCGCCTCCTCCTCCTCACCCTCCTCCATTCTCTTTCCACCCCCTCCCAGCTCCCCGGCCCTCCCCCGTCAGACGTCGTCGTCGTCGTCGTCGTCGTCGTCGTCGTCGCTCTCGCCGCCGCACAATTGGCGTTGTCCTTACTCGTCTCCCCCGCCGCCACCGCCAAAGGCCGCGGCCGAAAAATCGCTGGAAGGGCGCCGAACGGCCGCCGAAAGCGCCGCCGACTGACCGCCGACGGGCCGCCGAAAGGCCGCCGAGGGGCCGCCGAAGTGCCGCCGAAGTGAGGCCAGGGGCGCGCTTCCTCCGCCTTGGCGCCCTTCGCGGGAGCGTCTACCGCGGCGGTGGCGTCGGGTACGCCCTGCGCGGTTGCGTCGTCTCGTCGGCGGCGGCGTCGTCGTCGGCGTTGTCGTCGTCGTCGTCGTCGTCGCTGGGTGGGGGAGGGGGAGTGGAGGAGGAAGCGGGGTAGACAGGGCAAGAGGAGGAGGTGCAGGAGGAGGAGGAGCAAGAGGAGGAGGAGCAGGAGGAGGAGGAGGAGGAGGATGAGGCACCGATCCGTTGCCAGGCCAGTAGTGCTTGGATATGCCCCCTGTTCCTCATCTTTTCCTCCTCCGACCCCTCTTCACAATGTCGCAACCCTGGCCTCGCCGTCAAAAAACACACGCTCGGACCTGCGCCATAGGCGGACTCTCAAAGTGTGGGCGCTCTCTGAGGTTGCCGCTGGGTTGGCCCTGGGCGGTGTCACTTTCCAAATCTCGCGGGTTGCACTCGTGATGAAATGATTGAGCCCGAGTTGCTGAAGACCACTGCCAACCCTGACTATGTCTGTTTGGGCGTCTCACTTCCGTCTCCCCGCCGCCCTCCCGCAGCAAGACCCCCCAGGGCACTCGGACCTGGACTGGAGTGGACCCTGGCGCCGAAGCAGGCGGTATACCTCGGCGTCGCCCTAGCGACCAGCTGCACAGACTCACGCGCGCAGACACCGAGAAAGCCCCACGGCGTGTCCCGCCGACCAGGGCCTTCGGCCAGTGCTTGCAAGGCCTTGGCGTCCAGCCCGGGCGCTCGCGGGGGCCGTCACCTGCGCGAGAGCGCGCCGCGGCACGCGCCGCGGCTCGGATGGACGGCCGGGCGTGTCGACACTCGTCGGAATGCTGAAGGCCACAAGCTCCTGGTGCTGGGCCGAAGGGAACTGTTACTTTGGATGGCCCATAACGGGCCCAGCTGAAAGGGGGTGGTGAAATATATTTGGCCACTTGTTTTGCCAATGTATTGCGCCAGAGAATTGTATTGCATTGTATTGCAAGTAATGCATTGCACGCGAAAATCCAGCAATACATCTGCGCTCCGAAATGTATTACACGCCCCACATGTATTGCAACACCACAAATCTATTGCACCAAATCTATTGCACCACCCCCTTGTCGCTGGACCCCCTGTTGGGTCAACCCGAGCTACACAGGCCTGCTGCCAACGCAAGTGCGCATGGCTCATCCGAACAAGACGCCTCAACGCAGCTCCCAAATAGGCGCACCGAACGCCATCCTGGCCTTCTGACAAATTGCGTCCACAGAGTTTTCAATATCAGGAGTTCCAATAGGTCCGTGAATGACGATCCGGGAACCGCCAACAGACGTCTGAACACCGCATCTTGCAAAGCCAGTCGTGCCATCATGAATAAATGTCCGGAGTGCCCACGGCGAATATACTGTAAGCTGCAACTCGTCGTGAGTTCCTTCTTTAATGCCATGCCAGCTTGCCCGCCAGGTGTGATTAGTACAATCCCAAGCAACTTGAGCTGTCTTGCATTCTACTCTCGTTGCCCGGCGTCCAGTTAAAGAAACCCGCTTCCAATCGTATGGCCGCTGATTCTCACCCAGGGATATTCCATTTACACCAGCACAGCAATCGGCATCTTCGACGATACAATCTGGGTGCCGTATCATATCGAATCGTCTGGCAATTGATTCCAGCAACCTTGCTCGTACTGCGCGAGACAAAGCATGCAGCGGACACTCTTGTTCTGAGTAGACTTTGTGGGTGAATGTCGCCAAGTCTGCAAAAGCCGACCGCACAATGGGATCGCCTAGGCCATACGATGTCACTTGTCCTATTGTATTTGCCTTCAGGACGATGCGTTGCACCGCAGCATCCAGATATGTTTCCCCCTTTGGGCCGGTTAACAACACTGAGTGACCAAACGCATCGGTTCGCTGCCCGGCGGATGAACAGAACTTGTCTCCTGAATGCACAAACGAATAAACAGTGGCTGGCGTCCAAAACGAGAGTCGCAACTCATCATGGCACCAAGGTTTGATATTTTGAAAGTGCGCGAGCCAACGCCCATTCCATCGAACTCGTCCAGATTTGTGCTCAACCCTGGTCGCCGCACAGTTCTGGATGACCCGCAGCCAATCGTATTTCGGTGAGGATCCACGCTCCGAGTTCCTGGCTGCGTCTCGGATCTTGCAACATGGATGGGACAGACGGTCGTGCTCCTTCGCTGCTGCTTCCAATACTCGCCCGCAGAGTGTAGGATTTAAGGTGGCAAGAAAACAACCAGTGTACACGTGGTCTGTCATAGTCATGTGTGGAAGAAGGTCCTCGTGATTGAAACGCCCCAGCCATGTTCGCAAGGCTAAGCGCGGAATCATGGCAACTCCAATCTTGAGCCAACATGGCTTGGGCCAGAGCAGCTACGGAAGGAGGGGGAGGAAGACGCAAGGACGCATCAACGATGCTGCAAAGCACCCACCCGTGCAAACGCGGAATCATGACAACTCGAACCTTGAGCCAACATGGCTTGAGCCAGAGCAGCTACGGAAGGAGGGGAAGGACCACGCAAGGACGCACCAACGATGCAGCAATACTCCCGCCCGTCCCAAGTCCCCTCGTCACACGTCCCTACGAGCCTGCCTCTTGACTACGAGAGGCGCCCCTTTTGAAGAGCGAGCACCCCATGCGCCTGCCATTATTCCCGTGGGAACCACCACCTTCTTTATACAACATGAAAAACAAAAAAAAAAAAAAAAAAAAAAAAAAAAAAAAGCTGCCTTGCATCCTGCAAGCGAGTTGAAAGGACGGCGAAACCCTTCGGTCATGACATCCAACGAGATGTCTGACAATGACCCCGTCTTGAAACGGAACCACCTCCCATCCGTGCAGCCGTTGAACATGTTTTGAACCGGGCCGTTCAATTGGGGGGCGTCAGACATTGTAGCTCCGTTTTGGTAAAGAACCACCCTCCATCCGTGTAACTGCTGCAAGTTGTTCGCAATAATATGCGCGGCACTTCTGAATAGCCCTTTCTTGACAAGAGAACACCCATTATCCTGGCAGCTGCTGCAAACTTTGAAGACGAATGTGTGCGGCACTGAGGCAAGATCTCAATTTTGAAGCCGTGCCGCCATCCGTCCTTGTAACCGCTGCAAGCATCTAAAACGAACGTGCGCGGCGCTCAGGCGAGAGCCCCTTTTCGAAACGGTGCCGCCCCCCATCCTTGTATCTGTCGGAATTTCGTGATGCCCCATGATTGTCGCTTGTGGGGAAGACTCAGGCGAAACGCCCAGCCCTCCCTACTTCCGACACGTCTGGTGGTGCGACAGGGAGGGGTTATCTATAAAGAAACGGAGTCGAGGAGGAAGCGGGGGAGATTTGCGAACGTGATCATTGAATCTCGGGGGCCTTCGGCAGTCTTCGGATGCTGTGCGATGTCTTCAGAGGCTTGGTTAGGGCTGACGTCGACGACGACCGCCCCCTCAGCTGGGGTGGGAGCCAGTCGACGTCGTCGTCGCCGTCGGTGCCGAGGTCGTCGTCTCTGTTTTCGTCGGGGGTTGGAGGTGCAGGCGGGGGAGGCGGGAGGAGGCGGAAGGAGAAGGAGGAGGAGAAGGAGGAGGCGGAGGAGGCGGCGCAGGAGGGGTAAGGGAGCAGGAGGAGGAGGAGGAGGAGGAGGAGGAGAGGAGGAGGAGGAAGAGGAGGCAGGGACTGGAGGAGGAGGATAGGAGGAGGAGGAGGAGGAGGAGGAGGAGGAGGAGGAGGGGGAGGTATAGGAGGAGAGAGGAGGAGGGGAGGGGGAGGGGGTAGGGGGGGGAGGGTGAGGAGTAGGAGGAGTGAGTGATGCGGAGCGGAATGAGGGGTAGGAGGAGGAGGAGGAGGAGGTACTGCGTCTTCCTATATTCCTGCACGTATGCTCGGATTCTCCGGTTTTGGCGGGTTATCCTCGTATGCGGATGATTTCTAGATGATGATTCTTTCGCTCATGGGGGAGAAAACCATAACTGGAAGAACACAGGAAGCATGAGCTACGCTGCAACACACACCACCGTCCCATCCTGCAAGTATCACTGCCCGATGGGCTTGTTATTCAAGCGGGGGTACTGTTTTGAACAGGAGCTGCCCTCCATCCTTGTAGCACCAGGCACGATGTAGGAGCACACGGTTCCGATAAGTGTCATTGCATGCGAGGGCCGGATGTTGCCCTCTAGTTATGCGTGTGACTGTTGCTACTGTTCACCCTCTGGGTCATGATACAAATTCGCTACACTTCCCACTTTCCCGTTCCACCCTCCTCTCCCTCCTCTCCCTCCACCCCCCCGCTCCCCCTCCCCCTTCCCGTCCCTCCGCTTCCCCTTTCCTCGACCCCCCTCCCCTTTCCCCCGCCCGTCTCCCCTCCGCTCCTGAGGCCTCCCAGCTCGGGTCCGACCAGATAGGGTCGGAGGACCCCGCCGCATCGCCGATGCATCGGCGACGTCGGCGTGGAGAAAATCGGGCTGCA